TGGGAGTGGACTACATCCACCCTGATTGAATTGGCCCTGTCAACACTGGTTCTCCACTTGCGAAGTAACTCCCTGCTCTCTATGTGTCAGTATATAATGCCTGCATCTGTAACTTTCACTCTGTGCATCTGAAGAAGTGAGGTTTTTACCCATGAAAGCTTATGCCCAAATAAATCTGTTAGTCTTTAAGGTGCCACCAGACTCCTTATTACTAGATGAGTGACAATGTATAAAGTTCTATTAAAATCTGCAGTACCATTTCTGATCTGGAGTATCCTAAATGAGAGATGAAAAAGTAACCCAATATATGTGCTCATTCATGTAATGCAAAATTGTTGCTTAGGCAATATTCTCAAGAACTTTTTAAATCTCTTAATCAGTGGGGTCTCTGTTTCCTTTGGGATGTTTTTATGTAGTCTTATATAAAGTAAGGAAGCTTTGTTTGATCTTTATCTTATTCTTATTTATTTGTATATCACAGAGTGTGCTTGATGCTGACCAATATACACATTTAAAGACGGTCCCTGAGCCACACAGAACTGAGTGATGTAGTTTTAAGGCAACCTAACTTTCAAGTGCAGACCAGTCTTAGACAGTTAAAATACATTGAATACACTTAATATTTTTCTCTGTATCTTTTGCTATAGTTGACACACAGATGATGCTGTGTAATCACAACAGAAAGAAGTGGTTCATGAAACACTATGCAGTCCACGCTATACAAAAGTTTGATGACCTGCCCCCCCCCCAATCTAATAGATAAGTGTTATCTTAAAGACCTGGGATTTAAAGGTGTTCAGCCTTCATCTTTGATCAATAAAGTAATTTTACAGCATTGGCTCCAGTCACGGTTTTATGGTTTACTAGTCCTACCCTTCTGCCCTGGAAACTGAGAAGCAGTTTTACAGAGTTGCTAGTCTTGTCTCTTTTAGAATTTAGAAGGCGAGAAGTAGAAAAGGGATGTTAGAATTCACAGATACAAAAACCTAGAACAGATATAAGAATAGACTGGATAATATGTATTCTGACTACTGAATAAGCATAAGGACCCAGGACAATTTATACTTTTAATTTCACGTTTTAAACGCAGTAGTCAAGTGGTAAAAGTTTTTCTGAGTAAGGCTCTCCAATGGTTAATGTGGGTCATTGAAAATAGCATAGCAAGATGTTGTTACATTGTGATAGGAGGACCTGTAATCTACATTTAGAAATCATGCTGAACCAGAGTGAACTCTGAAAGTGATCAGATTGCTTATGGTGTTGATATAAATTGGCTGTCTTGTATATTTAGATTGTAAGTTTTCGGGGACTCTCTCTTGCAGTGTAGTTTGTACAGTGCATAGCATAATGGGGCCCCAAATTCAGTTGGGATCTCTAGATGCTAGTAGAATACAAATAATAACCAGAGTAATGTGGGAGCGTTCCTGAGTAGAATTTCCAGTGTAAACTTATGTAATATTTTTAATGAGTTCTAAAACTTGATTGTTGAATTCACATCATACTGAAAATTAGCAGTGAACGTAATGTCAGCAGGTAAAATAACATGCTGGTAGACCTAAGATTGTGGCCTTTCCTCTAATAAAAGATATATACATACATTTGCAGACACACCATCCTGATTTTACTATTGTGCCCATTGCAGTAACCTTAAATCCATTAAGAAAAGCTTCTGCGCATCCAGGACTCTGACATGCTAACTTTTGCATTCCCTCTTCCTTCTTGCTCCCCAGTCTGTGGAAGTCTTTGTATTGGAAAAACTAGTACACTAAACCTGAGCCTTTTTTGGAGGGAGCTAGGTGGTTCATGTAAGCTGTGTGTGATGCTAGACATTAGTTTTAGAAACTACTTTTGCTTTTTATTTATTTATTTTTTTAAAGTAAAAACAATAAAGAGGAGTTATGTTCAGATACTTCTTTGGTCTTTTGTATTAAAACGTCTTTAAAATGTTTCTTCTGTTTTTAGTTTTGTTAAAATATGTTTAGAGTTTTGTTTTAGTAATTTTATTTGCTGCTGTTAGCTTTGTTTCTAAAAGTGAAACTTTGTAGATGATGAGATGACAATACAGATCAGTTCTTAGTACCGTATATACTCGATCATAAGCTGGTTCATTTATAATTTGACCTCCCTCCCCCGAAGATGGATAAGTAAAAATGGAAATTTTTTATGACCCATTCAGAAGCCGACCCTATAATTCAGGGGTTGGCAAACTTTGGCTCCCGGGCCATCAGGATAAGCCTCTGGCGGGCAGAGACTGTTTGTTTACCTCAAGCGTCAGCAGGCACGGAGGTAAACTTAAGTAAACAAAGTGTCCTGACCCGCCAGCAGCTTACCCTGACAGGCCGGGACAGCAACTGGTGGGGAAATTTTAGGGGAAGGGGGGAGAGAAGCTGGGGGTCAGGGGAGTAACCCACATGACCCCACCCCTAGCCTGGGACCCCCACACTCTCCCCATCCCATTCCTTCCCACCTTAGCTGGGGTGGGTCAGGTGAGGATGTCTCTGGCCTGGCCGGAGCTGCTCCGGCGGGCGGGGCCGGGCGGTGCAGACGCAGCCTGCCAGCCCTGGAGCTGCAGCTGCTTTGGAGGCTGCGGGGAGAGTAGCGTGGCCAGAAGTGAACAGAATCTGGCCTCACCTCTTCCCTTCTGGCTGTGCTGCCTCTCCTTGCTCCCTCTGTTGGGGGGGGGGGGGCCCTATGTCCCACCTCTCCCTCTCTATACGTGTTCATAAGCCAACCCCCTTCTCTGATGCTTCCCTTTTTTACTAAAAAAAATTGGCTTATGACCGAGTATATACGTATGTTTTTAACTGAATCTAAAGCATGCACAGTACATACTCATGTACTGGTTATTTCCATATGTTGTGTGCATGATGTAACTTCATTGAGTTTGAGAGTGACTTCAACCAAATTATTTTGATTTTCATTAGTGTAACTAAGATCAGAATCATGCCCAAAATTTTACTTTTAACACAATCTCCTTGCTCTTTCCATTTTAACATAGCAGTCTGCATATAATTGTATTTCTGTATTTTTTTAGATATGAAACACTCATTAACTATTCTTGATTCCATAATTCGAGTAAAGCTGCTTTAACAAAAGGTGTTATGGAAAATAAAAGCCTTTGCGGGCTACGTTGGAAGTTTGCAAGAAGCACAGCATGGTGAACAGATGTTTAACAGAAAAACATATGAGGATTCCTATTAAGAATTTCAGAAACTGCAAAAAAGTTAAATAGAATGTTTCATGCTATGGCTGTGGAACTGCAGTTTTAAGTCTGTCCTCTTTTTCTGCAGATTTCACTTTTATCCACTTTGATATTTTTTCCCTACTGAACACTTTGAGAGCCACAAGACTGCCTGTCTTAGTTGAATATATGTTTTAAGATCAGTATTTGAGTTATTTATCTAAACATTTTTTTTTCCTCCCAGACCATCAGGACCATCACAATGAGTCTACGGAAGCAAACCCCTAGTGACTTTTTAAAACAAATTATAGGAAGGCCTGTTGTTGTAAAGTTAAATTCTGGAGTTGATTATCGAGGTAAGTTCTCCCCACTCTCTCCCATAATGAATAATGTCTACATTCTCACTGTTTGGGGGAGGAAGGGACAAATACAGTGCTTAACTTTAAAACAATGACTGTCCCATAACTAATAAAAGCAAGAGAACTTTGCAGGAATGTTAATTTCTTGGTACCTGTATTTTCTTTCTGTGGCTGTGTTAGTATGGTGGCTTGCATATATCAGGAATTATTGCTATAGTAATAGTAGCTTGAGTTAGATTCTCAAGTTCTTGTTGTGACTGGTGCAATTCCTGTATCATGTGGCCCCAGAGTGACATGTTTATTTTAGTGATTTACATAAGCTCCAGAGAGAATTTTGGTTGGGAATCTTGAACTGAGGATCCCAGTTAGTAGTGCAGTGATCTGAAGTGTTAGAATAGCCAATTTTAGATTTGGGAAAGGGTGGCATAATGTTAAATAAAAATAAATAATTCTGGAGAAATTGCAGATGGAAAAAAAACACACTTGGTTTTTTGATTAAAACAATTTGTCTAGGTCAGTAATCTTGAAAGAAGCAGTGTAGGCTCCCAGCATAGGAATTTCGAATCCTCTTGAGTTATGCATATGTTTAACTGTTGGATTGAGGCTTTAGAGTGGGATTTTTTTAGAAGAACCTAAGTAATGTAGGAACAAAAGTTCCAATGGCTCTAAGTGGGATTCTTGCTCTAAAATCACTTAAATGCTTTTGAAAATCCAAGTTAGTCATGGGCCTATCCTCTCATAGGATTATCAAGGAGAAGCTTTTCTTACAGGTCTAGTGTCCCAGCGTGACTTCTATCAGAATAGGTCTGTTGGCTCCCTGTTTTTTTTAGCAGTGTCATCAGAGGTTTATACCTCACTGCTTGCTTTCAGTGAGGAAGAGGAGACTGGCTGGGACATAGAAAACACTGTCTAACATGAAACTATACATTTCAATTCCCGCCCCTACCCCCCAAAAACGGTATTTTACTGAGTGCTTCAAATATTTAAATGTTATGGGCCAGATACTGATCACACCAGTTTTTACACGGGTATAACTCATCTGACTTCACTTTACGCTGTTTGAGAGAATAGCGCATGTGTTGTGGTGAGGAAAATTTACTTGGGGATTTATTATAGTACATGAAACTATAATGTAAGCGGCATTTGTGAAATTCCTTAAAACATTTAAAAAAACCTTTTGTTCATAAAAGATTCCAGACTCTCGTTACAAATTTGTCAACAAATTTATCTACTTCTGTTTCTAGGCCATGTTGCTAATTGTACTTTGACAAATATCACTTAATGCAGATATGACTGAATAATTGCAAAATGTCTCAATTCTGTGGCAAGTGAATGCCACATTTAAGGGAAGAGGCTATGAAAAAGCACAAACCATATTTGATAAGTTACTGTGTGTGACTTGCTTGCCTGTGTGTGTATATACACATTTAAAATGTAAATAGGAGGTTGGGTAACAATAACACTTTATGCCAGGCCTGTTAGTAGAGTGGAAAAATACAAGGGGGAAGAAGAGAGAATGAAATAAGCATGAACGCACACTAGGAACAAAAAAGGCTGTGAAAACACTGCCATTTAAGGCATACTGAGTGATATTTTTAGTCTCACTTGTCTGAAATTATTTTTTACCTACTATTGTTAAAAGTAATTCCTGAGATTACTATAACAGAGATCGGGCGGGGGGAGGGGGGAATCTTTCATTTTGTTTATTTTGTGCAATTAACAGCACTTTGTCTGTAGTCAGTCAGTTTCTCCTATTTGTGTGGAAAGAGAAGAAAGAAAAACACTTGTAGGAAAATGTGATCCTAAGACCATAAAAGTTGGCAAGAGAGTTCAAATTCCCAGTTATTTAATGGAAGATCTTACGGTAACACTGCTGAGATGTGAGGATGTATGCTAGACAAGAGTCCAACTGGACTGTTTTTTCCACATTGCTGTTCTTTAATCCAGACAGTTATACAGTTAAATTATAATACTTTTTGGGTTCTAAATAATTATCAGATGTTTTCCGATCCCAGAGGAAAGCGTAGTCCCAACCCTAAAGAATACAGTCGAAGATGACAAAAATGATGAGTAGTAGGGGAAGGGATACAACATACAAAAAGACCAGTGTGATGGGGCACACATCTTACTAGTTGCAAGTTTAGTGTGTTTAACTAACAAACAAACTAAAAAAAAAAAAAAAAAAAAAAAAATTGTTGTTCAAACTATCCCCAAGCTTTAGTTCTAGTGTCCCTAGCACCTGTTCCTCCCGACATTAAACCCCTTCCCTCTACATAAATGAACAATTTGTTCATTAAGTAAACAGAAGTAAGTAAATAGATGGCTAAGATCCTAATCCTGCCCTGAGTTCCATGCTGGTAGAGCTCTTTTGAAGAAACAGGGATTCATGGGTGTCACAAAAGAAGCAGGTCTTGAGGAGGGATATAAGGGACTTAGTGGACCAGCTCAGGAAGTGAATTCTGTATATAGAGTTCAGTGCAGAAGAAGACTAAGAGAAAAGTGGGAAAAGAAGATATATATTTTTAAAAGCAACATTGCTTTTGTATTAATTTGTTTAAAGTCAAGAAAAAAAAAATACTAAAGGGCACGGAATTTTTCTTCGTGATCCAGTAACTAAACTGTATAACTATCTTGGAAAATTGATGCCTGTGGCATGTTTAAAAATGTGTGCATTTTAAAATGTTGCAAGCTTAGTTATATTGAAATAAAAAATTATAGTATTTTAAAAGTAAATATGTCAGTTACTACAATTTTAGCTGAGTTGTGTTCAAGAAAAGTGTTGAGAAGTTTATTGAAATGTGTAATTTATAGCATGAAGATAACAGCTGCCAGTCAAAGTTTTTTCTTTAAAGATATTGTAGATCAAAATTGTTGTAAAATGTGGTACATTATGGGGCATTGTGCTATCCTATATTAAGGTGATCACTTCATGGATATTGAAGTTATTTAGAACTATTTAAACTAAAGGATTAAGAGAGCTGTCTGAAGTGATCTCTGGATCGTTAATTTTGATTTTCAATAAGACTTGGATCACTGGGGAAGTTCCAGGAGACTGGAAGAAAGCTAATGTTAGGTCATTTTTAGAAAGGTGATTGGGATGACCCGGGTAATTATAGACCTGTCAGCCTGACATCAGTCTCAGCCAAGATAATGGCGTGGTTGATACAGGGCTTGATTAATAAAAAACAAATTAACGGAAAGAGTGTAATTTAATGCAAATTAACATGGGTTTATGGAAAATGATCCCTGTGACGTTGTGCAGTCTATATGGTTTTATAAAAACATGATAATAAGTGAATATAATGTAACTGGGATATGCTTCATGCAAAAGGTCTCTTGTAAGGTATCATTACAAAGCTTATAATCTACTGAATGTGATCATCCGATTTGTATAAATGTATCACTCTTGTATCTAAAACTAGAAATATAAAATATAACTCTGAGGGCCTATTGTAATTATGTAAAGTGTGGGCCATTAATGATGGTTTGGAATCTTGATGACTCCCATTGTCTGCAGATGGCTGTTTACCTGTGAGTCTTCCTGTATGTGTGTGTGCTGGCAAGTGAGTAATGAAGTCTTGCAGTGACATGTGATCATGTCACCTGAACTGGAATCCATCTTTAACCTGGTGCTTTTCCAGTGAGGGGAGGGTGGAAACCCAGAGGGACAAAGGGTTCCCGCCTTATGCAAAAGATATATAAAGGGGTGGAAGAGAACAGAGGGAGAGAGAAGCCATCATGAAGAATCCCCTAGCTATCACCTGAGCTGGAACAAGAGCTGTACCAGGGGAAAGAATTGTGCCCAGGCCTGGAAGGTGTCCAGTCTGAGAAAAACTTACTGAAGCATCTCTGAGGGTGAGATTATCTGTATTTAGTTTGATTAGACATAGATTTGCGCATTTTATTTTATTTTGCTTGGTGACTTACTTTGTTCTGTCTGTTACTATTTGGAACCACTTAAATCCTACTGTCTGTATTTAATAAAATCACTTTTTATTTAGTAATTTACTCAAAGTATGTATTAATACCTGGGGGAGCAAACAACTGTGCATATCTCTCTATCAGTGTTATAGAGGGCGAATAATTTATGAGTTTGCCCTGCATAAGCTTTATGCAGGGTAAAACGGATTTATTTGGGTTTAGACCCCATTGGGAGTTGGGCATCTGAGTGCGAAAGACAAGCACACTTCGGGGGGCTGTTTTCAGGTAAACTTTGGGGCAAGTGATTCAGACCCTGGGTCTGTGTCTGGAGCCAGACGGGAGTGTCTGGCTCAGCAAGACAGGGTGCTGGAGTCCTGAGCTGGCAGGGAAAACAGGAGCAGGGGTAGTCTTTGCACATCGGATGGCAGTTCCCAAGGGGGTTTCTGTGATCCAAGCCATCACAATCCCGTCAAACTAAGTTGATATTTTTTTTGACGAGATTACAAATTTGGTTGATAAAGGTAATAGTATTGACATAATATACTTAGACTTGGTACCGCGTGACATTTTGTTTTTAAAAAACTAAAATGATATAAAATTAACATGGCACACATTAAATGGATTAAAAACTAGCTCAATGATAGGTCTCAGAATGTAACTGTAGATGGGGTATCATCATCATGTGGGGGGGGGGTTCAGTGGGATCCTGCAAGGATCAGTTCTTGTCCCTACGCTATTTAACATCTTGATCAGTGACTTGGAAGAAAACAAAATTATCACTGATAAAATTTGCAGATGACAAGAATTGGGGGAACAGTAAATCATGAAGAGGACAGGTTACTGAGTCAGAGCGATCTAGATCACTTGGTAAACTATGCACAAGCAGACAGTGTGTTTTAATACAGATAAATATAAATGTATACATTTGGTAACAAAGAATGTAGGCCATACTTACAGATGGAGGACTCAGTCATATGAAGCATTGACTCTGAAAAAGATTTGTGGGTTATAGTGGATAATCAGCTGAACATGAACTCCCACTGTGGACAGAAGAGCTAATGTGATCCTGGGACACATAAGCATGGGAATCTTGAGTAAGATAAAAGAGATTATTTTACATCTGTATTTAGCACTGGTGTGTAGTTCTGATGCCCACAATTCAAGAAGGATGGTGATAAATGGGAGGGGAAGAAGAGCCAGGAGAATGATTAAAGGATTAGAAAACATGCCTTATAATGATAAACTCAAAGAGCTCAATCTATTTATGTCAAAGAGAAGGGTTAAGGGATGACTTGATTACAGTCTATAAGAACCTACATGGGGAGCAAATAATGGGCTTTTCAGTCTAGCAGAGAAAGGTATAACATGATCCAATGGCTGGAAGTTGAAATTGGACAAATTCAGACTGGAAATAAGGTGTAAATTTTCAATGGGGAGAGCAATTAACCTTTGGAACAATTTACTAAGGGTCATGGTGGAGTCTCCACCACTGACAATTTTTAATGAAGATTGGATGTTCTAAAAGATCTGCTCCAGGAATTATTTTGGGAAAGTTGGCCTGTGCTATACAAGAGATCAGACTAGATGGTCACAAATGGTCCCTTCTGGCCTTAGAATCTGTGAATGTTAGCACAAGAACAAATGGCTGTAAACTGGCTGTGAACAAATACAGGCTGGAAATTAGAAGAAGGTTTGTAACTATCACAGGAGTGAGGTTCTGGATCAACCTCCGATAGGAGTTGTGGGGACAAATGATTTAATGAGTTTTAAGAAAGAGCTGGACAAATTGATGAGTGTGATTGTATGATGGGGTTGCTTGTGATGGTAGGGGGTAGGACCCAAGAGCCCTGAGGCTCATTTCCAGTTTGTTTTATGTTCCTAAAAGCTTATGCTTCAGGATTTCAGCCACCCACGTGCAGGAGTCAGGAAGGGATTCATACCCCCACAAACCCCGTATCTTCTGTTTGTTGTTGTTTTTAAATTTCTTTTCTCTGAAGCATTAGAGATGGGCACGGCTAGAAATGGGACATTGGACAAGGGGGACCAGGGCTCTGAGATGGCACCGAGCATGCTCGCTCTCTGGTCCTTGGCTGGGTGGTTTTTGCTTACCTGCTTAGGGTCTAACGGATCACTATTTGAGGGGTCGTGAAGGGCTCTGGTGCACCTCAGTCCCTTCTGCCGTTCATCTCTTGCTAATACATAAATGAATTGCACTATTTTCAGCTTTCCAAGCAGAAGCCATTGATCTTGTGACAAAGTTCTGTTTTATCACAAGCAGTTTTTTTCATTTACGGAGCGATTGATGAAGATTTAATCACTGCCTAATGGATGATGAGGCTATGGTGACAATTTTTCTAATTGGCTTAGAGTAGAGTGTATGCTTCAGTTAATCAGAGCAGTTTATCTAGAAAGAGAGGTTTGAGTTGTATTTGAAGAATAAAAGACTGTCAAATTTATGTTTACCCTGATTTTTGAAATTTGTGTTTTGTTTTAAATTTTTTTAAACTTGTTAATGTCTTCAGGTGTCCTGGCTTGCTTGGATGGGTATATGAACATAGCTCTGGAGCAGACAGAAGAATATGTAAATGGTCAATTAAAGAACAAATATGGGGATGCATTTATCCGAGGAAATAATGGTAACTCTCCCTCCTTGCAATACTCTTGATTAGGAGATTGGTTTTGGTATGGAATTTTGAATTTGAGGCATGTATGAAAATAAAAGTAGGTGACTGCCTGTTTCCAGCCACATCCATTTCAAACTTTTTACTCTTGCTAAAGGCCTTACATAATCTTTCTTTTACCTACCGTCTGTTCTCATTTCCTCCTGCTCTGCTATTCTGGTCCTATGCTATTCCTTATTGATCCCTGTGACTCCTTCCTCTCTCCCTGTCTTTTACCAAGTACCTCTCTTTTCTATCCCTCCCTCTAACCCACCCATCACAGGACCCTTTCTTTTCTTAGTCAGCCAACCAATAACATTCACCAGAATGGTCTTGTCTATCTAGCTGTCCCTTGCTTCACAGAGCTTATCACGTCTTGCTCTGTAAAGCAGTGTGTACATTTATAGGGGTCTGTGGATATTGATAGTGCTGTAATATACACTCACAGGTTGATTGTCCAAAACTGAATGTTGACTAACTTAACTGTCTAATGCAATTTATTAATATTTAAGACTGTGCTTACAGGTGAAGACTTTACTCATTAAAGAAGATTACAATAATTAACACTGACCCATGACACATTATAATGAGACTTTCCAAGGCTCAGCTACCATGGAAATAGGCGGAGTATAAAAAATTAGACCAGGGGTAGGCAACCTATGGCACGCAAGCTGATTTTCAGTGGCACTCATACTGCCTGGGTCCTGGCCACCAGTCTGGGGGGGCTCTACATTTTAATTTAATTTTAAATGAAGTTTCTTAAACATTTTAAAAACTTTATTTACTTTACATACAACAGTAGTTTAGTTATATATTATAGACTTATAGAAGGAGACCTTCTAAAACCGTCAAAATGTATTACAGGCACACGAAACCTTAAATTAGAGTGAATAAATGAAGACTCGGCACACCACTTCTGAAAGGTTGCCGACCCCGAACTAGACAGATAAGTTTTAGTGTGGTTCAAAGACAGTTAAGGTCCTATCCCCATTATAAAATGGCCTATCTTTAACTTTATTGAGGGATAATGGTAGTGTAACCCAACCCCTTGAGATGGAGGTATTTGTAATATAGGCATACCTTTCACCCTGGTAGCAGGAAATGCCAGGAAGAGAGGTTGGGAGGTGGTTGTGGGCAAAAATTCAAGAATGAACAGAGGGGCAGAGGTCACACGTGCAGAGGAATCAGTGTAGAGAAGAGAAGTGAAGGCACAGGAATGGATGAAGTCACCCAGGAGCAAAATGTAAAGAGGAAAAAAGGAGAGGGCCAGGAACTGAACTCTGTGGATATCCACAGGCAAGGACAGAAAGAGGAAAACAAGAGGAGCACAGAGCCCATGCGAAAGAGAGAAATTAGACAGTCTTTATCTCAATAGGAGGATGAGAATAGAGAAGTCACCTTTAGGGTTGGCCAGGCATCTCTTCCAGAATTTGGATAGGTGAGATTGAAGTTAGAGAAGCAAATATGGTCAAGGGGTTTTTGCCCCCATCTCACCTCCTCCCCCCCCCCCTTTTTTTTTTTTTAAAGACTTGGAAATAAGATCATGTTTTAAAGGCTGAGGGAAGAAGCTGGATGATGGCAAGGTAGCGAGAGGTCTTACAGCCCACCTCATAATGAGAAGAGGGGTAATAGACTCTAGAAACCGGTTGAGCTGAGAAGTGACACCCCTCAGTTTGAGAACATAGTTAATTCTGAAATATTTCACACTCTGGGCACCCAAGATGCAAGTATCATGACTTCCTCCTCCTTTCCCTCTGCCCCAAAGGAGACCCTTTCCTAAACACTTGCAGGAATCCCTTTATCACAAGACCGTGGTACTGGTCCAATAAGTGGAATGTACAGACTACTTCATAGGTTACCGTGACCTTTGCCATAAGTTTTAAATGAAAAGGAGTGAGGATCCTGAACCTTTTGTTGTCAGATCAAGACTGTTATTTCTAACACCCTTAATCTACGCATCCTGAAAATCTGGTTGGACTCTCCTCGGCATCACAGAAGGCAGTTCCAGTGAAATTGGTTTTAGGAACAGTCACGCTATAGAATCCATCTGTACAGCCTCTATCCGTTATGGTGCACAATTTGATGAAGTAATATATTAAACTAAGTGTTCTACAAGGAAAACTGGAATAGAAACTACATGTATGTAGTTTGACTCAGTTAATATTGCTTTTGGAACTTCAGATTTTACATTTCCTGATTTAATTGATAGGGTAAACATGGCACCATATGTACTGGAATTCTATAACATGTTTCACTTTTTCCTTTTCACAGTTCTGTATATAAGCACACAGAAGAGGAGGATGTGAAGGTGCCTAAAGAGAGAGGTTTTGTACTGCTCCATTTTTTCCTGAATGATGAGAACTGTTTGATTTGTAGTTGGTAATTCTTGGTTGAACAATACATTGTTTAAATATTTCTGTTATTTGCTGTAAAGCTGGCGTTACTGCAGTGACTATGGAGAGAAGAGTTTTTTTTAATTCCAAACTACCAGAACACAATTGTAAACTTTTCTGAAAACTTCAGTTGTGAAAAAGTGCTTTGTTACACTGTGCAGAATTAAATAAAAAATGGAAAAGTATGTGACGTATGTATTGCTACAAGATAAATTTGAAGCAATATTTGGTTTGGTTACTTCTGGTACTTCCAGGAATGCAGAGTGGAAAACAAGGGTTTTGAGAATAACCCCACATTGGAACTTTATAGTGTTGGCCAGGTGATAATTATCACTCCCCTCCCTCAGCTATACAAATGCTTTGTTGAAAATAATGTGGCCCACTTTGGGAAAAAAATAGGGCCAAGTTTAAATACTGGACTATACTAAGAGTCAACAGGGTAAAAAGTTCAGCTGCTGACTGGCAAAATTGGCCAAAACCCCTTGAATTATCAATTTGAATAGGGGATGTAACAGCGATACTTCAACAATGGGGGCAGGGAAAGAATTGAATCAAATGGAAGAAAAGCCCAAGGGATTAACACTGTGGCAGCTATAGAAGTCAGTCACACAAGTGAACAGCTCTTTAGTTGGTATGCCAACAGAGCCAGTAGGTCACTTCAAATCCTAGCAACTTTTTCCTCCAGATTGCAGTTACTTTGTTTTCTTTCCTTCTTTCTCTTCTCCCCACCAACACAATAATGACGTTTTTAAAAAAGTTAAAATTGGTTTTATTTTAAAATACATCTACAGCTTTTTTCAAATTGCTCATCAGGTGAGACTGTTAGTCTCAGTGGTGTGTACTTACATAAACACATTGTGTGTCCTGTTCACACTTTTTCATTATTCCCACCACCTTCTTATACCACACACTCTCTTCCATTCTTCAACTAGGCACTAGCCAGCAATGTGAACAAATAGATATCAAGCTCTCAGCATGTAGTGTGTCAGCAGGATGGGGAGAGAGAGGGGAATTGCTGCACAAGCAGTGAAGTAAAAAACTGCATGTATCCCACAGCAACTTTAAGAGATTAAGTCAAAGCTCAGTGAGTAAACTCAGCTAGGTTCTGGATGGCTACTTACTAGCTTATAAAATACTTTTCTCTCTCTTTAATTTCTGCTTGATTGCAATAAAAAAAAAAATAGCTTTATGGGTACCTATGAAGCTAAATCAGAGTGGAAAACTGCACTAATACCCAGTACTTAATGCTTTCCTGTTGCTCAGTGCAAGGTTACAATTTTGGGTAATGTACCTCATGCAGAGGTTGTTTAACCAATTTGTTAATGAGTTTTCTGAAACCTTGCTTTATTCTCTGAGCAGTTTATGCTGTCTTCAGGAAAAACAAATACTTCTGAGTTGTGGATGAATGAGCACCAAACAATTGTGTGAATATTACATTGGCCCATTCTCCCCAAATACCAACAGGTTCTCAATGTCAGTAGGCAATGGTAACATTTCAATAATCCAGGGGAGGGAAATGCATGGTGTGTTTTTTCTTTTTTTTTTTTTTAAATAAAGATGAGGGAATAATTCCAAACAATTATTTTGCAATTAATAGTTAATCTTTCTACATTAAACATTGTGGAGGACTCCTCAGAACATACAGAGATACCGCATTATAATATGCTTCAATAATTTATAATTTTTTGACCAGGGCTTGACAAGGATCCAGCATGTAAGAAGAGATCACCAATGTACTCTTCTATAAATGACTTTTTAAGAAGAAAATGGATGTGCCTCCAAGTGGAGTATGTAGTTTCTCATTAGTTTTGTAGTATGTGTGTGGTTGGCAGGTTACGGTGTCCTGCATTCACTGAAATTGTTTTAGAAGTAACTAATTTTATTTGTTTTTCCAAAATCTAGAACAACTTATTTTGCGAAGCTTTTATTTTATTACAAAAATTATGCATCTCCAACTTCATAAGTGAAGTTTTTCTATTTCTATAGGTTTAGTCATGGAACAACTTTGTAATCATGACAGCTATATAAGATGCTACTTCTGAAATGTCACCAGAACACATGATTTGTAATCATGCAAGTTGTTTAACATTGAGAACTAGAACTTGCAGAGTTTCTGCCAAGTGCTAAGATTTTTTTTTATTTACTTTAAGAATAAAAATGAATAAAATACTTAAAATTACCTTCAGGGTTCTGGAAAAAATATTGGTAAATCCCCTTGTGACGTTGATAAGTATTTCCATGTTACTGATGTACAGTTGTGATGTTCATTCAGTGATTTTGATTTTTTTTAATTAAACATTCTTTCGGGGTGAGACTCCCAAAAGTGACTAAAGATGTGTGACTTTCAAAGGGAGTTAGGTGCCTAGCTCCTTTAGCCACTTTTGGGAAATGTCACCCTTAAGTCCCAAGAAGATATTAATGAACATCACTCTGGTCTTTGTCCAAGAATTCCTGAATTTAAATGTAGCTCACTTTGGGTGTCTGATGTCTTCCACCTTGGATTTAGTTCAAGAGATAAATGAAGGGCTATTACTTCACCATTGTTTGTATCACAATAAACCAACTGCAAATGAATCAGGCAGGGATGGTTCCCTGTTATCCAAACATATGTTGTAAGTTTTAGAAAAATTTCATGTAAAATCCATCAACATGTAAAAGCAAAATAGCATGCCATTCAAGTGTACAGACATAATATACCAAAATGAGCTATTTCAGTATATAGTTACTGTGGAGAATGTAGGACATTCCTATTTTTATGCAACGTATGTGACTTGGCTTCTCCATTCACTTTTGTATTGCTACCCACTGGGTGTGAAGAGGTTAATTTCTTCTCAGGCACAGTGTATAAACAGGGAAGTGACTGGCCATGAGTCAGTAGGCATGTCAGGGTCAGTAAGAGTAGTCTATCAAGAACTGTCAGTATGTGAATAGAGACTAATGATTGGACCATTGACTTTTAACAACTGCTGGCCAAGGGGCACTACTTGTGAAAACTGTATGATTGGTACTAGAGACAAAGAACGGAAGTCTGAGCAGACTGCAGTAAGATTCCTGACTCAGTGCAGAGATTCAACCCAGGGAGGTTGTGTGCATCTAGGCTTTACTTTACCATTCTAATCTAATGTTTCTAAACACTGTGTTCCAGCTGACTAATCAATTATGTCTTGTTTTAAAGAGACTGTTCTGTGTTGCTATAAAGAGCTGTTGGTTCTAGAGCTCCCAAGAGGGTGCCACTTGCCTGAAGCATTGTATTTGATGGTGGGAGACTATCTCCTCCTATTAAGAAATCAGCCCTGATGGTTCTGAAGCCCAAGGTCCTAGCTGTGGAAGGAGAGGATATGGCGCTTCATCTCCCAGCCACACATTTCTAAAAATAGACTCAAGAAAGAGTAGTGACCTGGGATATGCTTGATCCCTAAATCTGGCCATAAACACTATTTCCCACAAGCATGTGAAATTTGGGAAAACCAAATTGTTAGCTATAGCTTCTCAACTAATAGCCTGGTTAGGGTGAATACACATTCAGATTTGCTGCACCATCAAGAATGAGAAAAGAAAGGGGGGGGGAAAATCTTAAAGGGAACTAAATACTTATTAGCTGGAAGAGATGGAGTTTCATCCTATAGTAGTCAAAAGCAAAGTGATCCTCCTGGACCTGCAGCTGGCTGTATCCCCCAGATATAAAAGGGCTAATTACTACAAGAGCATGCTGGGATCCCTTTAAAGAATCCCTTTAAAACGGTAAACCCAAATCAATGGCCATGCAGTCAGTTCTTAGGAAAGGGGCAAGGAACAGACACCCCATTTCTGAAGGACTCGTGAAAACCAGCATAGGATTTCGAAGGCCTATTATGTTTTATATTTGGGTTAGTTCTGTCCATCTTTCCTGTGCTATGACATTACATTGACAAACAAATGTCTAGATCCCTTTTTAGTTGCTGCCTTTACTTGAGATTTGTCATCATGCTACAGCCCAAGTTTGCAAATAAACCCACTTTATTGCCATGACTCATTGATTTCCATGGGATTAAAATTAGGGGTGTCAATTAATCGCTGTTAACTCACGCAATTAACTCAGAAATTACTTGCGATTAATCACAGTTTTAATTGCACTGTTAAACAATAGAATACCAATTGAAATTTATTAAATATTTTTGGATGTTTTTCTACATTTTCAACTATACAGGGAGTCCTCGGACTTATGCAATTCTGAGGAACAAATTGTAAGTCGAAACCGCTTTTCCCATAGGAATCAATGGTATTAAGGGGCGACTGATTCCTGAACCAAGGCTTGATACACTAATTTCACCACAATAATCCAGATTTTTGTACTAAATGAATTATAGATGACTAATGGTGCAACATCAATGTATTTACTGTACACTATTTTGTAAACAGCATTCAAATGAACATATAAACTCACATATGCTGCTCAGAATGCCGGCAACACAGGCTCAGAAAGCCAGGGAGAATGGCACACATGCTGAGTCTCAGACAATCACTGTTCAAGCTTTCTGATTGGCTGAGCCTAGGGCTGGGAACCAATCAAAAACAAGCGGCAACTCTACCCAGCAACAAAGTACCCTGCTGCTTCAAAACCAATCAGAAGCGACCCCTTCCAGCTCTATACCAGTATAACGCAACCAGGAAGTGATTTCAAGCAACTTTATGCAAATCGAGCATCGCAAGGGCGAAACAGGCATCACAGGGGCAAAACGGGCAGTCAATTGAAAATCATCGTAAGTGGCGTGCAGCGTAAGTTGGGCGTCATAAGTCCGAGGACTCCCTGTATTGATTTCAATTACAACACAAAATACAAAGTCTACACTGCTCACTTTATATTATTTTTATTACAAATATTTGCACTGTAAGAATGAGGATAGTATTTTTCAGTTCACCTCATACAAGTACTGTAGTGCAATCTCTTTATTGTGAAAATGCAACTTATAAATGTAGATTTTTTTTGTTACATAACTGCACTCAAAAACAAAACAATGCAGACCTTTAGAGCCTACAAGTCCACGCAGTTCTACTTGTTCAGCCAGTCGCTAAGACAACACATCTCCTGTAAATGTAAACAAATAATGCTGCCATCTTCTTATTTACAATGTCACCAGAAAATGAGAACAGGCGTTCGCATAGGACTTTGGTAGCCAGCATTGCAAGGTATTTACATGCCAGATATGCTAA